CGCAGCGGTTTGGCGCCTGCCTTGGGCCCGGGGCGCGATCCTGGAGACCCGGGATCGAATCCCACGTCGGGCTCCCGGTGCGTGGAGCCTGCTTCTCCCTCTGCCTGTGTCTCTCTGCCTCTCTCTCTCTCTGTGACTATCATAAATAAAAAAAAAAGAAAAAATTAAAAACCAAAAAAAAAAAAAGGCTTTCATAGGCAGAGCAGGAACAAGGAAGTTAAAATAAGCAAAAAGTGCATCGGTTATTGCAAAGTCCCCTTCCTCTAGGGGATGTCCCAGTTCTATCAGGCTAATTAACTAACTAATGCTGATCAGGTGATTCGTGATACACTGGCTTAAGATTCCGTTTCTGGGAGAGTTGAAACTAATTAAGTCTTGGTTTGGGTACATAGGGCTTATGCAAGTGACTCTGTTTTGGACCTGTTGTCTTATTCTTAACAGTGGATATGCCACATATGGTTATCCATTTCTGCTGTTTCTATCTTTTGGCTATTGTAAAATCTTAGAAGCAAACAGAGGGGTAAATCTTCACAACCTCAGGTAAGGCAATGATTCTCAGATATGACACTAAACAAGCAACAAAAGGAAAAACATAAATTAGGTTTCATCAAAATTAACTTTATATTTCAAAGGACACCATCAAAAAAAGTGAAGTTCAACCCACAGAGTAGGATTAAGTGTTTGAAAATCGTATATCTGATAAGGATTTATCAGATACCAGAATATATCCAGAATATATAAAGAACTCTTAAAAGAGTACTAAAAATAATCCAATTAAAAATGGGTGAAGGAGGGACGCCTGCGTGATTCAGTGGTTGAGCATCTGCCTTTGGCTCAGGTTGTGATCCCAGGTCCTGGGATTGAGTCCCGTGTTGGACTCCTCCCAGGGAGCCTTCTTCTCCCTCTGCCGGTGTCTCCACCTCTCTCTCTCTCTGTGTGTGTCTCTCATGAATAAATGAATAAAATCACAAAAAATACTTTATAAAAAAATGGGTGAAGGATCTGAATAGATATTTCTTTAAATATGCAAATGGCCAATAATTACATTGAAGAGAGCTCAGAATTCATCAAATGCAAATCAAAAGTGAGATACTACTCATACGCATTACTGTGGTATTAAATGAAAACAGAAAATAACAAGTATTGGCAAGAATGTGCAGAAACTGGAAACTTCTTACACTATAGTGGGAATGAAAGTGGTGCAGCTGTTTGGAAAATAGCCTGACATTTCCTCGAAAGATTAACACAAAGTCACCACATGGCCCAGATTTCCATTCATAGGTATACACCCAAGAGAAGTGAAAACGTATGTTCACACAAAAACTGATACGTGAATGCTCATAGCAGCGTTATTTATAATAATGGGCAGAGTAGAGTCCTTAAACAAATAGCACTCGGACAAATTGAATATCCACAAGCAAAACCATGAAATTGGATGCCTACTCATATGATACATAAAATTTAATCAAAGTTGATCACAGACTTAAATGCCCCAGTGCTACTTGTTTAAAAGACTCTGCTTTGCCCATTAAATGGTATTGGCATATTTGTTAAAGTCAGTTGGTCATACATACCTGGGCATATTTCTGGATTCTCAATTAATTCCATTTCATTGATCTGTATGTTTATCCTTACACTAGTACCACACTATCTTGATCAATGTAGCTTTCTATTAATTTTTTAAAATCGGGAAGTACAAGTTTTCCAACCCTGTTATCCTTGTCCAAGATTGTTTTGGCTATTTCAGATTTCTAAATTTTCATATGAACTTACTATCAGCTTCTCAGTTGCTGACAGAAAGGCAGCTAAGGTTTTGGTAGGAATTATGTTGAATCTGTAGATCAATTTCAGGAGTACTGTCGTCTTAAGAACGTTAAATCTAAAAAATGAACATGGAAGCCCCTTCCATTTATTTAGGTCTTCTTTAATTTCCTTCACCAATGTTTTCCACTTTTCCACATATGAGTCTTACACTTATTAAATTTATTTTTAAGTATTTTATTATGAAGCTACTATAAATGAAATTGTTTTCTTAATTTTGTTTATGGATTATTCATTGCAAGAAGACAGAACATTCAATAAAATGTTCATTGCAATAGATACGCAGTTGATTTTTGTATGTCGATAGTGTATCCAGTAACCTTGATAACTCACTTTTATTCTAATAGTTTTTCCTGTAGCTGCATTAGATTTTTCTAAATCTAATTAGATTTTCTAAGCCTGATTACTCTGCTTAGAATCTCCAGTACAGTGTTGAATAGAGGTGATGAGAATGCACATCCTGTATTGTCACTGTTCTTAGTGGAAAAGCATCCAGTCTTCTTCACGGTTTATGATGTTAGCTGTGGGTGTTTTGTAGATACCCTTACTAGGTTGAAGAAGTTCCCTTCCCTTTCTGTTTGTTAAGCGTTTTCATCATAAAAGGGTGTTGGGTTGTCTTGTTTTGTTTTTTTCCTACATCCATCAAGACGACCTTATGCTCTTGTCTTTCATTCTTTTAATATGGTATATTACATTAATTAATATTCAGGTGTTAAACCAATCTTGTTATTCTTGCAATAATCCAATTGGTCATGGTATATAATCCTTTTTACATGTTGCTGCATTCAGCTTACCTATATTTTTGCTCTAACCTCTTAACTGGTTTGCCTCTTTCTACCAGGCTCCATATAGTCTTTTCTCAGCCCGCAGGCTACAGTGTTGTATTGTGCTGTTCCTCTTTTCAAAACCGTCCAGGGATTTCTTTCCCACTCCAGAGTAAATGCTAAAATCTCACAAGATCTGATCTAACCAAGCCTCCCAATTCTTCTAGAGCACATATCCTGGGACTCTCTGTTTCATCTACTCTGCTCTTCCTATGCTAGTTTCCTTGATATTTCTCAGCAATCCAAGAAAATTTGCACCTCAGGACATTAGCACTTTCTGTATTCTATTCTTAGGTTGTTCTTCTTCCATATGACTTACTCCCTTACTTCCTTCAGTTCTCTCTTCACATGTTGCCTTATTAGAGAAGCAGCTTCTGATCATCTTATAAAAGAGCAATGCTTTTACCCCCAAGAATGGCATAGTATTCCCCATTCTCCTAACCTGCTCTTTCTTGATAGCATATTTTACCATCTGACTATATATGTTTATATGCTTGTTTTGCTTACTGTCTTTCCTCACGTACAGCATAAGCTCAAATAAATATATGTATATATTTGTTGGGCAAGTATTATTGATTTATTACTATGGGCAATGTTCTACATGCTGGAGACAAATTGAAAAAAAAATAAAGCAGATAAAATCTCTGCCCTTATGGAGCTCATCTTTTAGTAGGGAGAGATATTCAATAAACAAATATACATTTGGGGAATATGAATAATAGTGGAAGGGAATATAAGGGAAGGGAGAAGAAATGTGTGGGAAATATCAGAAAGGGAGACAGAACATAAAGACTCCTAACTCTGGGAAATGAACTAGGGGTGGTGGAAGGGGAGGAGGGCGGGGGGTGGGGGTGAATGGGTGACGGACACTGAGGGGGACACTTGACAGGATGAGCACTGGGTGTTATTCTGTATGTTGGTAAATTGAACACCAATAAAAATTAATTTATTAAAAAAATATAAAATATGGAATTGTGGTGATGAGTACAAAAGAGGAAGATTTTGCAAGCATTATGGAGGTTACTAATATTCTTGGTAAAAGCAGTTTTAATGGACGATGGATATGAAAACCCAATTGGAATGGGTGCAAGTATGAATGACAGGAGCAAATTAAAACAGTACTGAAAATTATTTCAGGGATCTTACTATGAAGGTGAATACAGAAATGAGGTATGAAGAAATAGCATATTTGTAGGTTGACCCAAACAATCCCAGTAGAGATACAAAGTAGGTTTTATGGGAGACAGAAGAGAAAATTGCTGAGCTATGTCCTTTAGCAGTTTTTGCAAGAAGACACAGTCTAGCTCCCAAGTAAAGAGATTAGACTTAAGAATATGGACTATATGGAGATGATGTAGGTAGGTGGTATGTTTGTTAAATGAATGATTCACTGCTAATCACAATAGTAAAGTACTCACCCCAGGAAATTCCAAATTCCAACAAGTAGCTTTATATCACGGGGCTTTCCCTGATCCCCTTTGTGAACTGAGATCATCTATGTATAAGTTATAGTCTACAATATTAAATTTGGGTTCAAGTGTTGACTTGTTCTCATTTTCTGAAGACTGGTGGAACAATTCTTCTACTTGGAAGCATTTTAATGGGATGTATCAGAAAACCAACTCAAATTACGTAAGTTTAAAGAACATATTTGTGACTTTTACCCAACACTCTATGACTTTACCTTCTAGATAGACTTGCACAAGTGTGCAAGGGTATCTAGACAAGGTTCACTGCAACATTAATTGTAAAAGCAAAAAATGAAAATAACTCCAACATCCATCATAGGTTACATCAACTAGGGTATAGACATACCATGAAGTTCTCTTTCTTTATTACAAACAGTGAGTTACTTTGTCTAGGGGGTACCTCTGGCATGAGAAGACTTCAAATTTTTACATCATAGAATTCTAATTATATACAATTTTTTTCAATAAGCATGTGTCAATATAGTAACTTTACCATTAAAAAATTCATATAGGACACTTCAAAGATATGGTAATGTTTTATTTTTTAAACCGGTGCGGTAGGGCCACGGGTGCTCATTGTATTAGAATTTTCTAACCACACACATAATTTGTAAATACCATTTTGTACCTGCTTAACATTTAATAAAAAGATTATACCCCTGGGCAGCCCGGGTGGCTCAGCGGTTTAGCGCCGCCTTCAGCCCAGGGCACGATCCCGGAGACCCGGGATCGAGTCCCATGTCGGGCTCCCTGCGTTGGGCCTGCTTCTCCCTCTGCCTCTGTGTGTGTGTGTGTGTGTGTGTGTGTGTGTGTGTGTGTGTCTTTCTCTGTGGATAAATAAATAAAATCTTAAAAAAAAAAAAAAGATTATACCCCTGAGGGGCGCCAGAGTGGCCCAGTCAGTTAAGCATCTGCCTTTAGCTCAGGTCATGATCCTGGGGTTCTGAGATCAATCCCCACATTGGGCTGTCTGCTTGGCGGGGAGTCTTCTTTTCCCTCTGTCTCTCCCCCCACTTATGGTCTCTCTCGTGCTCTGCTTTCTCTCAAATAAATAAAATATTTTTAAAAAGTTATACTCATGATATCTGATTATTTTGTTAATGACTTCTCTTTTGAAAAGGCAAGTGCAAATACATCTTTGTCAAACAGTTGAGGATTCCAGTTAGCTGAGGTAGGTTCATTCAGGTTTCTCTATGTCTATCAAGAATTGCCCCCCTAGATTCTTTGGAACATGGGAAGAAAGAACCAAACTTCCAGGTATTACTGAATATCTGTTACAGACAGTAGCCTTAACTTTTATATTTACAAAGTTTATCTACTGTTAAGGACAGAATTATGTCCTCCAAAAAAAAATGTGTTGAAGTCCTAGACCTCTGCACCTCAGAATATGACCTTATCTGAAAATAGGGTTGTTGTAGATGTAATTAGTTAAGATGACATCATAATGGAGTAGCGTGGACCCCTCATCCAACACAACTGGTGTCCTTATAAGAAGACAGCCATGTGAAGATAGAGACATAGAAAAAGAATGCCATATGTTGACAAGGCAGAGACTGTAGTTGTGTGACTGCAAACCAAAGAATGCCAAGGATCTCCGGCAAACCACAGATGCTAGGGAGAGACAAGGAAGGATTCCCCTACAGGTTTCAGAGGGAACACTTGATTTTGGATTTCTAGGCTTCAGATGTGAGATAATACATTTCTGTCATTCCAGCCACCTAGATAGTGGTATTTTTATAAGAGCATGACTAGGAAACTAATAAGCCTGCCTTATACTTATAATTATTACCAATATTATTGTGATATCAGATCACAGTCATCAATCAGATTCAGTGTGTTTCACACCACGAAGCCAAGGGATCCTTCTCTCATTTGAGAGATCCTGTGAAATACAGCGTTGGAAATGTCTGGAAGGACACTCTCCAAACTGTCAGCAGCAACAGTTCCCTGTGAGGAGGGAAAACAGAGGCTCAGGTACATAGAAATGAAGGACTTTTAACATTGCCATCTTAAAAAACAGAGATATTTGTTGCATCATTAAAAAGAAAAAAAGAATCCTAGGCAGATTGGAAAGCCAATAGGAAAAAAGCAAAAATTGTGTGTACATTTCACTTGTTATGAAAATACTTACTGTAAATTAAGCTAATCTTTGATAAAAAGTGAGTATGTGGTTGCCTGGATGGCTCAGTCAGGTAAGCCTCTGCCTTCGGCTCAGGCCATGATTTCAGGGTCCCGGGATCAAGTCCACATCAGCTCCCTGCTCAATGGGGAGGCTGCTTCTCCCTCTCCCTCTGCCCTCCACTTGTGCTCTTTCTTAAATTTTTTTTAAAAGTGAATGTATGTGATTTAGGGCTCAGAGACCATATATATTGTTTGATACCATGTAATTACTGAAACACTCTCTTTTAGTCTCAAAAGTGATCCAGGTTTTATAACAAATTATGTGATTTCCTCACTAATGTCCTTTCAGAGTCACTAAGAAGGACTTTCTTGTTCAAAGACAAATATATCAGCTAAGAAAAGCTCAGCAAGCAGAGGTGCCAGGGAAAAATTTTCTAGCAGAAAAAAGGAAACCGAGAAGTACTGGGGCTTCTGAAACGCATGAGCTAATGCAATTTTTTTTTCAATTTCTGTGAAATTGTGTCTTTTATCTTTAAGATCGTGGAAATTTTGCATTCTTTACTAGAGTATTTATGTGTTTGGAGCAGTAGAAAAATAATGCTTTTCTTACTATAGAGTTGAATTACTTTACTTTTCCTTTCAAATCATCTCTGAGTAAAATTGGATTGGCAGTCTATGGTTCTTGTGCTCTGTCCCCACCCACCCACCCCCACCCCCAAAACCTGAGATTGCTGCCCTTCCATCTGAGAGGTACAGCTCTAATGCTGCAGACTTCTTGAGCTCCTTTATTAAATGCCTGGATGTTCAGAGGCCTAACTGAACATTTTCACTGCTTTCTAGTGCAATCACATCATCTATTAAGGGGAGACTCCTGTGAGTAAATGGCCCTTATTAGGGAGCCAGGAGGCTGGATTCTTCCCACCCCTGCCAGGAACCTGCTCTGGGTGTCCTTAAGGAAAGGAATTCAACATCTTGCTTTTAGTCCTTTGTGTCTGCTAAACTGCAGAAAGAGGAACACAAGATCTTCTGTTTCTTTTTTTAAAAGATTTTATTTATTCATTTGACAGAGAGAGAGCATAAACAGTGGGAGCGGCAGGCAGAGGGAGAGGGAGAAGCAGATTCCCTGCTGAGCGGGGAGCCTGATATGGGGCTCAATCCCAGGCCCCTGGGATCATGACCTGAGTGGAAGGCAGACGCTTAATTGACTCAGCCACCCAGGTGCCCTGCCCCAGATCTTCTGTTTCATCATGACATAAAGACTTATAATTCAGTTAAGACCTATTCTCTTAAAATTATGTGCCAGTACTATAAGGTTATAAAAGACTTATATCAAGAGTTTCTTGGGGCACCCTCGGTGGCTCAGCTGGTTAAGCGTCCAACTCTAGATTTCAACTCAGGTCATGATCTCAGGGTCCTGAGATGGAGCCTCACATCCAGCTCTGTGTTGGGCATGGAGCCTGCTTGAGATTCTCTCTTCCTCTCCCTCTGCCTCCTCCTCCTGCTCATGAGCTCTCATACTTTCTGGCTGTCAAAAAGAAAATAAAAAATAAAATAAATAAATAAAAATAAAATAAAAAAAAAACAAACTCACAGCGAGTGATTCTGCCCTCATAGATTCCATTCTCTGCTGAGGAAAATAGACTAATCAGGAGATTACTTAGGTCTAGTGATAAATGCTAAGAGGGGTAAAGATTAATGTAGATATTCCCCCAAAGGTAGGGTGCAGCAAAGAGGGAAAGAGGGAGCCACTATAACTGATGATACTGTAAACACACCCCCTCACACACACGCACACTCAAGATTGTGAGCAATTTGATATTAGGGAGTGTGACTTATTCATCCTGTTTCTCCAGCAGTAAGAACAGAGTAGGTTCACAATTCATTGAATCATGAACAAAAAAATTTGAAGCATACTTGTGCTAGCATAGGACATATATTCATAAGAGTGCCTGTCGCTTTCCCTTTCAATCAATCGGATTATCCTTTTCTTCAACTTGCTCCCTTAAAGAAAAAAGATTTTTAAATAATTTCATATGTTTTAAAACAAAGAATTAAAAAAATAAAAAATAAAAAATAAAACAAAGAATTTATTTATATTCTACCAATTTGGAAATAAGGTAGTCTGGACAGAGATTAGACTACAGTTACCCTTCTGTTATATGAAACCAGGATTTGCAATGAAAACTTAAATGTAACTATATCTGAGTTTCTTTGGGCTACTTAAAGAACAAATTTTTAAAAGTGTCCTTCAGATTGTTTGGCAATATTTATTAGAATTGCAAATGTAGGGGCACCTGGGTGGCTCAGTCCGTGAAGCATCTGCCTTTGGCTCTCAGGTCATGATCCCAGGGCCCTGGGGTTGAGCCCCATGTCTGGCTCCTTGCTCAGCAGGGAATCTGCTTCTCCCTCTCCCTCTGCCTTCTGCTCCCCCTGCTTGTGCGCTCTCTCTCTCTCTGTCAAATACATAAATAAAATCTTAAAACAAAAAAATTGCAAATGCATGAAACCTTTGATCTAACAATTCTACTTTTATAAATAAATGTATATACTTGCTTGATATTGCAGCTGCTTTATATCGAGAGATAACAACCCTAATATACAACCCTAAATGAATGAACTTTATTTACTGATCTGAAATTATCTTCAAGATACATTGTGAAAATTGCTAAGTAAAGCAAAGGGTAGGACACTACACACATACACACACACACACACACACTTGGCTTGTATGTGTACAAACTATTTCTGGAAGGATACACAAAAAGCTAGTCGTTTTGATTGACTTTGCAGATGGAATCAAGTGTGAGAAGGGGATTATTTATACCTTTTGTTCCTTTAAATTTTTAAATATTTAAAATGTTGTAATTCTGAATTTTATTTTATTTTTTTTAAAGGAAAGCTTTTTTTTTAAAATTTTTATTTATTTATGATAGTCACAGAGAGAGAGAGAGAGAGAGAGAGAGAGAGAGAGAGAGAGAGAGGCAGAGACACAGGCAGAGGGAGAAGCAGGCTCCATGCACCGGGAGCCCGACGTGGGATTCGATCCCGGGTCTCCAGGATCGCGCCCTGGGCCAAAGACCGGCGCTAAACCACTGCGCCACCCAGGGATCCCCTGAATTTTATTTTAAAGATTTAAAAAACTTCTTAATTAAAAGTGCCTTCAGATCTTCCATTTGCTTCTAAGGAGAGAAATTGAATATCTAATTATCAGGAGAGCCAGGGAGACTTACTTTTCATCATCTACATTTTTGCCCCTTTTAAATTTTGTACCATGCATATTTAGGGGCGGGGGAAAGAAGTACCTTTAAACACATTAGGTCCTCAATCTAACTTTATTAATTGAGTGATTATATAAATTCCTAAATACAAACTAAACTTAAAAATCATATAAACCTTTATAATTATATTTTCTAGTTTTATTATAATTCAAACTGACCATCCACATCCATATCTTACAGGTTTTGTGGACTTGCTGCTGATAGTAATTTTTCAAAACTGTTAGATAGAGCTCTGTACTCCAGACATTCATATACTTAAGATAGTAGAAGTGTATTTTAAAATCATGTTTGTTTTGCTTGATCCTTTGGAGTAAATTATAGAAACTTAATTAACTGAAACTTAATTCTATAGAATTAAGATTGACATGATATTCTCTGAAATAAAATTAATGAAATATGTAATCTCATTACCTGATGAGCTAGCTATTGAACATATTCAATATGCTCATTATATTATCAATTCTGGTTGTCTTTCTAACCTCTAAGCATCCCATTTTTCCAGAAGTTCAAGCCAAGAGGCCTTTCATAAATAATAGGTTGGGCATCAGCATGCCAATCCCAACCATTCACTAAAATTCAGTCTTAGAGTTTGCCAGGATTTATATAGCCCAAATAAAGTTGCCAAAGTGATTTTTCATGGTTATATTATGCAGAGAGATAAGCTGTTCCCATGCGTATCCATAGAAATGATGTTGAACTCTTCACCAGTACATATAATCTATGAGATCTGAATGAGATCATCTTTCAGTATTTTAAAGCAATCACTTTAGACCCTCATACCCAGATTGGCAACATTTATTATTTCCTGAGTCTGTCTGTCTCAGATCACACATGAATCCTAGGCTCAGTCTTCTGCCTTCCAAATAGTCCTGTCACCACCTCCAGAAGTCCTGATGAAACTGATCATTTCTGACTCCACACTATTTTCTGCTGCTGCTGTTTCAATTACCGCCACACGGGGACACTGTTGGAAACTCGTAGTAGTGCTCCTCCAAAGCCAGCATGAGGCCACACAGTGCTACTGGTGGCCCAAGGTCCTAATGAAAATAGTTTATGCTGATTTGGAATTCTCTATGAGCCTGTGCTGTATTGTGTCTAATTGCATCATCTTATTTAAACCTTATAATATGCCTCTGGATGTTATTATTATCCTTGTTTTATGGATGCTAAAACAGATGTGAAAAGATTAAGTAAAATGACCAAGGTCACAAAGTAGTAACTCTAACCCAGGTTTGACTGACTTCCACCATGATTATAAGTTCATCCCTTCAATTCATGCTTGTTAACCTAGTAATTCCACTTCTATGATTACAGATACATGTAAGGGTTTACATTCAATGCAGTACATGATGTAGGGATATTGGAGACAATTTAAAGTTTCAACAAGGAGACACTAGTTAATTTATAATCCATTCACAGATTAGAATACTAATAGATTAATTTATTAAGTAAATAATATCAGTTAGTCATAGTTTCTAAGCATTTTGTTTCTTGACTCAGTTACCCCCCAAAAAAATCCTAGGATAGAGCTATTATTATATTTCATCT